GATTTCCTCGGAAACAGAGTCGACAAGAATGTTCCAGTAAAGCCAAGGTTAGAGGAATCGGTCGTCATCTTTTAGCAAGATCGACCTTTGAATCTCTTTGCTAAACTCTTTTATTTGAAATGGAAATAAACTCAACAAATTTAAATTATGATATTCCTCGAAATCCGACTTTTCTTTGCATATGATTTGCATCACTTTCACTAGCACCGCACGAAAATTGTGCAAACTGACAAAAAAAAACTCGGAGAAAATACTGAAAATTAGGCGTTTATATACACGCATTCTGTCTTACCTCACTAGCTTTCAATTCACTCGCTGTTATGGCGCCTGGATTCTGTACTTTTCTCCCTCCCAATTGGCATAGTCTCCCCACTTTTCACATAATATACAGAAAATTTGACTTTTCAACTTAGCCCAAAAGGGGGCGAACTGATGCTAAATTGTAAAGTGCACGGTATTTTGTATTGTTCCCCTTTCCGCCGCCCCATCAAGCTCCACACGAGACTTATCAGGCTCCATGCAGCCCGGCATGTTCTGCGGTTGCACTCGTAAAGATGCAATCTGTGCTTGCATCCGGAGCCTGTTTCTGGTACCAAATTAGGAATAACCAATGAGGAGGAGATCGGCATGCCAATGTCCTTGTGACGAGAGGATGCTTCGATCAGACAACTTACAACGCCCACGTGTGATTCATAACTCAGCCACATGACAGTTGTTGCGAGTATTAGATTTGCCTTTTTATGGCTGCCTAGGCAGCTTACACAATTCACTAAGGCTGTAATTAAATCGGAAAACAAGCCGTTGACAAGCCATTACCAACCTGGTGCAATCAACAAGCTCACTCGGTTGAGTAGTTGGGCTTTAGTTTGCACAAATCTTCACATGTCCATTAGTCTGCTGTTGTGTGTTTGTGTTTTGTGTGTGTATGGTTATATGCCTAATTGCGTACAATGCTCGTTCACATGCCAACAATTAAAAATTTCCTTCAATTATCAAGGCAGATCCAGACTTTGATACAATTTCAGTTGGACATGAGCATTACATTTCTGTCATTGAAATGTGGGAGAATCAGAAAAAGGATATCAGGTCTCTAGGACTAACCCATTATTGTTATTATTATTTGTCTCTTTGACGAGTTGTAATATGGTGCTACGATTGGCGAGACTGACTGACGATGTCGACTACGATGCCGGCGAAAAGTCTGGGAAAGTACCACGTCCACGGTCCTAATCTGGAAATGATGATGCCTACAATGGACTCCGGATAAGGTGCGTTACTCTAAGTCTTCCTACCAGCATGATCGAGTTGCGAAAACAAAGCCAAACAACTTCTAAACAACGAAAGGAGACTGTGACCACACAAAAGGCCACACCATCTTGGTCTTCATACTTTCAATTAACAAATTATTGTTCAAGTGTATCTAAAAAACTAGAGGCAGAAAAAGAAAAAGAGGAAGAAAGAGAGAAAGGGATACGAACAAACAGGTGACCTAAAGTGATCCTGTCCGAAACAGTATTTAGATGGCTCTCGACAATAATCAATTTCCCCACATTTGTTGTCTTGACAACTAATGACTTGCTGTATAATGATGACGAGTTGGTGGAAGGCCAGAGCTTCAAGCTGAGATGGCGTTCGTATTCAAGTAATTATAAGAGGATTGCTGTAGATACCAAAATGTCTGTCGATGGTCGGATGGATGCGCGGTTTCTAGCCAATTCGGGGAGGGCGGAGACTTGACGTGGAGACGTCAGGTGAAACTGGACAATTGGGCAATTCGGGACATGACAGCCATAGCCCCATGTTCGGTGCAACTTCATTTTTGACACGCGCGTCAAACGCGCAGGCCTAAGCCAACACATACTCGAGGGGAGGGGGTGGAAGGGGTTCTTGGTACACAGACGGTGTGCTCTGACCTCAGCTAGACCGAGCAAACCTAAAGGCCATTGGGTCTGGTCGGCAAGAGATAAGGGAAATTGGGAAATGTCACTAAACGACTGATGCTGATGGGCCAACAGGTTGGCAGGATACCGTAACGCCATTTGGTCGAGAAGACGAGTACAAAGTTCTTTTGTTATTTAGAAAGAGTATATTTCCAAATTAGTATAATATTTCTTGAATACTAACAGACTAGGCAACTCAAGTTGGAAGTGGGGTTTTCCACAAAATTAACCTCACTTGGCTTTGTCTTCTTGTGCGCGCAAGGAGCCAACATGTTACCCTCGCTTCACATAGCAAAGGGTACCGGTGGATTGCGGAGTAGGGCAGGCCAGGCAGTTGCAAACTCACATTTCTATCGAGGTTGTAGATAAGGCAAAAGTCAGAACCGACAAAACTATTTATATTTATTTCTCGAATTAACTATTATTTTCGTGACTACCAGTAAATCAGTAATATGAGATGTATTCACCCAATTTCGTTCAAGGTGATGAAGGAC